AAATTGTATGTTGTTTTCTTTAGGCCACATTTAAAGGCTGGATGGACATCATGTATGCAGCGGTGGACTCCAGAGAGGTCAGAACTTCTCATACTGGTGCTGGTACAGTTCCTGGTCTTATTAATCCTAGTCTACCGAGGAATTGAGGTTTTAATGATGTTAATGCTGTAACCAGAAGCTTTCCTAGTCCTGAAACTGGGAAAAACTGTTGCTGTTATCCGATGAGACACAACTACATTTCCCTCCATCCTGAGATTTCAACCTTCTTGGTTTAGGTGGAGTCCCAGCCAATGTATGAAGACAACCTGTACATGTACATGTACTTTGTCTGCTTCATTATCTTTGGCTCCTTCTTCACCCTCAACCTCTTCATCGGAGTCATCATCGACAATTTTAACCAGCAGAAAGCAAAGATAAGTTTCTTGTCAATGACCCAATATTGAGTAGTTTTCTCTTTCCCTCTGTCAACCATTTAATATTTATGTTTGGGTGTTTACCTTGGAGGAACAGATATATTCATGACAGAAGAACAGAAGAAATACTACAACGCCATGAAGAAATTGGGATCCAAGAAGCCTCAGAAGCCTGTTCCCCGGCCTACAGTAGGTTCCAGGACTTTCTGTAGAACTTAAATAAACCAAACCGGTAAATATCAGTATGACGGACGTCGAACAACTGTATTTCTGTTTCTGTCTAGAACAAGTTCCAGGGTCTAGTCTTCGACCTTGTGACCAAGCAGTTTTTTGACATCCTCATCATGGTGTTGATCTGCCTCAATATGGTGACAATGATGGTGGAAACAGACGAGCAGAGTCCTGAAAAGGAAAACATCCTGTACTGGGTCAACCTTGTCTTTATTGTCATCTTCAGCACAGAGTGCTGTCTCAAAATGATCGCTCTACGGAAGCACTACTTTAACGTCGGATGGAACATATTTGACTTTGTAGTGGTTATATTGTCCATTGTTGGTGAGGAGGAAGCAGATGAGATGGTTTTGTTATGTCTCACTGAAAGTTTTAAAAACTTCACCATGTGTTCTCTTCCCTTTCAGGCCTTCTTCTTGCTGATATCATCGAGAAGTACTTTGTTTCTCCAACTCTCTTCCGAGTGATCCGACTGGCTCGTATTGGACGGATTCTTCGTCTCATTCGTGGAGCGAAGGGAATTCGAACACTGTTGTTTGCCTTAATGATGTCTCTTCCTGCCCTCTTCAACATTGGCCTCCTTCTCTTCCTCATCATGTTTATCTTCTCCATCTTTGGGATGTCTAATTTTGCTTACGTGAAGAAGGAGAGCATGATTGATGACATCTTTAACTTTGAGACCTTTGGGAACAGTATGATCTGCCTGTTTATGATCACTACGTCAGCTGGATGGGACGGTCTGCTCAATCCCATCATGAACACACCTCCAGACTGTGATCCAGACTTTGAAAACCCAGGCACGTCTGTCAGGGGCAACTGCGGCAGCCCGGCAGTGGGCATCGTCTTCTTTACTTCATATATCATCATGTCTTTTCTGGTGGTGGTCAACATGTACATCGCCATCATCCTGGAGAACTTCAATGTCGCCACAGAGGAGAGCGCCGACCCACTTTCTGAGGATGACTTCGATATGTTCTATGAAACCTGGGAGAAGTTTGACCCTCGAGCTTCACAGTTCATACACTACAGGTGAGTCCCAGCAGGTGAATGACCTCCTGTGAGACTCGGTTTCCTGTCTGGGTGAACCTGATTGTAATTTTATGTGTTTCGCAGTGAGCTGTCAGACCTGTGTGATGTTCTGCAGGATCCTATGAGGATTCCCAAACCCAACACCATCAAACTGATACAAATGGACTTGCCTTTGGTTCCCGGAGACAAGATCCACTGTATGGACATCCTGCTAGCTCTCACTGCAGAGGTAGTATCACTCACATTATCCTTTTTCTTGGAGACATATGTAGTGTTTTTCCACAAATAAGAGCAGTCTGTGTAGTTACGTTCCTGTGCCTTTGTTAAGAGCCCACATCTACTTCCATCTGTTTTAGGAACCAAGCATGCATCATCAACAGTGGGCGACTAGTAGGAAGATAGAGAATACCCTTTACACTTCTGTGGCATCTGTTGTTGTTTCTTTCTATTCAGATTGACAAGCACAGGTATTCCACAGTGCCCAAGATAATCCACTGTAGCACCAGATTGTCTTGGTTCCAATCATAAACGTGTCACTCCAACTCTGCCACCGACACTCACAAAATTGATCAAAGCTACTTGCTGATCTGCAATGTCTGTCTCTTTGGGTTTTAAGATGTATTTGGTGGAACCGGTTCTTGGACAGCTGAGTTTAAGATTTAGGACCTTTTCTGCTCATGGAAGTTTTAACTTCAAGTTGGTCTGGTTAAAACTTTCTCAACAGTAGCATTAAAATACAGTAACTATTGGTGATTAAAATGTGTGAGAGACATTTGAACACCTATGTACACATACTTTCTTTGAATATTTTTCAGGTTTTGGGCGAATCTGAGGCAATGGATGGTCTAAAGGCAACGATAGAGGATAAGTTCATGGCCAACAATCCCACAAAGGTTTTTTCCTTATTTTTTGTCAGAGTCTAAGTCAGGGGTCTTCAAAGTTTCTCAGCCCTAATAATGACCTTATAATGACACTGATATTTGTCAAAATGCTCAGAGCTAGAATATGTATATATACCTGAAAAACACGATTTCATACCTTTATCAGTTTGTTTCATGTTGGATTCATGCGATGTTTAACAAAAACTAAAAGAATCTCAGGGACCTCACTAAAGACCTGACCAACACATTGAAGACCCCTGGAAAAAGTATCAATATAATCTCCAACAGATAGCCCTTGTATAATGAAAGTAACTGCACGTAATGTGATTGTTCATTTTTGCAGAAGTTGTATGAACCAATCAGCAGCACTTTGCGTAAGAAACACGAGGAGCTGGCAGCAGCAGTGATCCAGAGAACCTACAGGAGACATCTTCTGCAGCGAGTGATCAAACTGGCGTCCTACAAGTACAAAGAGAGGACAGGGGGACAGCGAGACGATCTGTCTCCACCAGAGACAGAAGGATTTCTCTGTAAACGAATGGATCAGCTTTATGGAGACAGTGAGACGGCTCTGGCTGCTCCAGCTGAGGACCAGACTGTCCAGGTGGAACCACAGAGGGACATTCTCCTCCACGCTGCTCCTCCGCGCAGCGACTGCAACTTCCTACACGATGAGAGCCTGACAGAGACGATGATGCAGCTGCAGACAAACTCGAATCAGGAGTGTTTCCTGTCAAAGAAGTAGCAGACGGACTCTTCTCTGTTTAAAAGAGCGTTCTTCAGTTCAGTTTAACAGAGAAACCCACAAGAAAAGTGACTTAACGCTCCAAAAGAAACAAATAATGTTTCCAAGCTGGTCTTCACTGCACTGCTCATCACCTCAAAGCCAAGACATCTGTACTTCTGCTTCCTTGTTTCTTTCTTCTGATTGGTGGATATTGATGTGATGAAAAGTTGAAGAAACCAATGGAAGTAGCAAACAGCCATTCAGAAAGGTTTGGATTAGGTGAAGAAAGTGTTTATGTACCATCATCCAGCCAGTGGAGCATCGGATAGCAGGAGCTTTGGATCATGGGCTCCATGAACGACCACTTTTACCATGTCACTCATATTCATATAACCTGGCTGCTTTAACGCAGAACCTAAATGTCTTAAATTAATGAGTAAAGTCAGTTAATCTGCTGGACAGCAGGGGATCCAGGCAGTGGGTTAACCAGCAGGCGTTTGGGATTTTATTCCTGCACAGTAATGATGAAATGAACACAGAGAGATGAGACAACTCACACCTCCAGCAGACACCCAGGCCTGCATGGCGGAGGAAAACGCCTCCATCAGTCCCCAAGTCGTCACCCAGCACACTGCAACCTGGAGGTGACGATAACTGACTGTGATGTCATCACTGGTGTAAATGTGGGTCATTCGTAGCTAAATAAAACAAGTAATGTTACTGTGAATGTTATAACAATGTTTGTGCGCTTTACTCTTCCTTCCTTCCTTTCTTTCTTTCTTGCTTCAGTGCACAAATCTGTACTCAGATTAAACATTTGTCATTTTGATTCAATTCAACTTTTGTTTTTCCTATCAAATAACGTTGCATCATTGGCTTAACGGATGAATAAGTAGATTTGAAATATTTTACCTGCAATAACATCTATGCGATTAAAGCTTCAGATTGTATTGAGCATGATTTCTGGGGTTTTTGTTTAAATATCTTTGTGTGTATCATGTACCATGGCATGGATTTACTCACCTGCTTTGAACAGATGCAGAACCAGGATCTATTTCGTCTCTGACCTGAACTCAAGTTTAAAATAATAGATTTATTGCTGACTAAAGGTACTGTTAAATAAGATTCTGTCCAACACAAATGTGGCGGAGCTGGTAAATCAGGAGGAGGTTATGCTCTTCTGGAGTTTCAACAGATGCAGAACACCTGAACCTCCTTCACAGAAACACAATCTGCTCTTCAAAGGGCAGTTTTAAGTATTTTCCAAGAACATAGCGCCATTTTATAGTACAATCAAGCAACAATCACGACTTTGGTTGAAATGTTACATATGTCAAATATGAGTTGAAAGTAATTTGACTTTGCAACTTGATGCCTTAAAATTAACCAACGTCTCCTTAAGAGGCTCCTCCTTCCAACACTTCAACACTCAGAGGATCCCTGAAGAAACACACACTAGCCAGTGGCAGAGGAAGTTTGGAGCACAACATCCAGATTTTCCAAATAATTCACAAACAAAATGTTTTCGTAAAGTGTCGATATTTATGAATTCATGATGAGAAAACAAACTATTCACAGGTCGCATCAGACTGGAGGAAATAAAACATTTTAGATGAGAACTGATGATAATGTGGCTTCCTGTGTGTGTGTGTGTTTCTGTGTGCGCGTCTGAGAAGACACACTACCTCACCTCTCATGTTTCAGTCAGAGAAGCAAAGCTGAAGACGACAGACGGACCCAGAGAGAGGAAGACGAGCTGGAAAACACACTGATAGGTAACCGTCCTGCAGGGAATCGGATGTTTACCGGGTTTAGTTTGGAAAAAGCAGAAGAAGGTAAGCTTGAGTCAAGTGCTTCAGATGGAAGTGAGGTGTGATATGAACCGTGTGTGTGTGTGTGTGTGTGTGTGTGTGTGTGTGTGTGTGTGTGTGTGTGTGTGTGTGTGTGTGTGTGTGTGTGTGTGTGTGTGGTGGAGCATGCAGAGCTGAGATTACACAGTGGGGTCAAACCTTGATCTGTTGGATGGGTTTTCGATGATTGTAGTTTCTAAAAGCAGCTTCTCCACTTTCATCCGGAAACCTCTCCGATCCACATCTTGTTTTATTTAAAGTCACTTGTTTTCCACAGGTATGGATTGTTATGTTTACATTTTCTTGAAGTTAAAGTAGAATAGCATCCCTTTTAAGACCAACCAGGAAGAACTAGTTCTGGTTCAATTGTGTTGAAAACTCCAATTTATGAACGATGCTATTGTACTGGGGCTTTATGTGAGATAATTAAACTGTGATTTAAAGTTCAGATGCAGCTGTTCAAGCACAGAAAAATGTAAGGACTCATTATGAACTGAAGCAGACAATCAGAAACAAGCAAAAAATCATACTGATGTAGTGAAGGGATGCTAAAACCAGATTTATGAGATTTTATCTCCTTGTACCAGTTAAAAAGCTGCATTTTGAACATCTTGCATGTGTGAGAGAGATGCATAACAAATGAGTTACAGTAACCCAGTCGTGACGCAATAAAAGCATTAAATAATGTCTGTTGGACTGAACCACAGCACTGACAAACGACTCAAGATTTAGACTGGGCATTATTTTTACACCTTATTTAGTGATTTTTGAAATAAAAATTAACAGAAGTCTCACAGCTGGAGTTATATTTGTTAAAAACAAAGAGTGAACAGAAGAGGACGGAGAATCGACCCCTGAGGTATCCCAAGAGAAAGTTTGTATCTGGAAACTGATGTGTGAAGAAGGAAAGGTGGTTTTCTTCAACTCTGCTTCTCATTACTGACAAGAGGAAACGTTTGGGATCAAAACTGATCTGTGTCACAGAAAATACAGCAAGTAAAATTCCGCAGTCACAGAAAAAAGAGGCAAAAACATACAACCAATGTAAAAAAAAATCCCAAAGTAAAATGTTTCAACCTCTGCAAAAATGCAACCACATCAGATGGCAGCAAAAAGAAAAATGCAGAAACAAGAAAAAACAAGAGCAAGTCTAAAACTCACTTTAAAAATCAGAAGATCATTTGTTTGCACCATTTTCCCTCCATTTAATGTTGAGCAGGAAACAAATTTACTGCAGTTCAATTCTTCCATTCACCAGAATTCAGTCCAACTCAGTTGTTCTGGTCAGTTCAGTCTAATTTGATGTAATATCAGGATGTTTTCTGCAGGATAAAACAGTTGAAACAATTAACCTAATTGCGAAATATGTAAATATGTTAATTTACTTATCAGCAGGAAATGTTTAAATGAAACATTTAATGAGAATGTGGAGCGACTCCACGTACCACAAGAGCTCAGATATTTTTAACAGTTCAGTTGTTTTCTGTTAACTGAACACATTTATAAATTTCTCAGAATAATTTGCATGTTCCAATAAAAAGACAAACGTTTCCTGTCTGACAAACTTCTTCCTGACATGAAGTCCCAAGTGGAGTTTGACGAGAGTCTCCGAAGGATTTTTGCTGTTTTTGCTCCAGCAGATGTAAAGTTTTATGCTTGAGAGGCAAAACTGATCTGGAGTCTCTCCAGCACACATGTGATTGCAGCACACAGTGTGTGTGTTTGTGTGTGTGTGTGTGTGTGTGTGTGTGTGTGTGTGTGTGTGTGTGTGTGTGTGTGTGTGTGTGTGTGTGTGTGTGTGTGTGTGTGTGTGTGTGTGTGTGTTCCTGTTTGGCTGCAGTTCTCCACTGCGGATCGTTTCTCTCCACAGAGATTTCCAGGGGAAGCCGGGGAAACAGGCATAGACTGTCAGAGTGTTTGTCTCTCACGCCACCTCACAGGCAAACGCAGCAAAATCCAACTCCAGCATTTAGAGATGACAACCCTCCTGAGAACGCCATCTGCAGCTGTTTGGTACACATGGTGTTGGATCAGTTCAGCACAAATACTTTGCTTGGCTGTTTATATTTGGCTTCAGCAGAAGGAAAGAGAATCTGTGAATCAGAGGTTTTATCCAGACCTCATCAAGCTGAAGGTTTGTTGGGAATCATCGCCTCTGATTTCCAGATTGTCAGCATGAACATTAAGTTGTTGAAATGGGTTCAAATGTCAGAAAGACAAAACGGGTGTCAAAGTGGAGTCCAGTCTGAATTCATAGGTTTTGTGCAATGCGTCTTTCTGTATGGATGCTGCATGTTCTCTCTGGGAGCTCCGGCTTCATCGCAGAAGACTTTCAGGTTAATTAGTGCTTAGGTGTGAGTGAGTGCATCATGTCTCACCCAGTAACCGCTGGAGATGGCAAGTCAGTGGGTTGCATCACCATAGAAACAAGTTGTACTGTGAAGACCGAGGCCGGAAATGCCAGACATTTCTGACCTCGTCTGCCAGCATTCTGCCATCTGCAGTTACTCTCACATGCATGAGGATGTGAAGCAGCATCCCAGGGAAAAGGAGCGGCGATTCTCTGGAAGCATGTTGGTGTTATTAGCAGGTTTCCTCAGAGAGATGAGGAATGAAAACTCAGAAACCCTTTCAGGTTGTTTCTTCTAACTGGATGAAAGCTGCAAAGGTACATCATGTAAATATAATCTTTAATGTAGCCTTATGGTTTTTCTATGAAACTGTTGCACACAAATCAATCCCTGCTTTGGCACAGCCTCAGTGGATGTTGAATCGTGTTTCCTCCACAAGTGGATGTCACTGGAGGATGTTTTTTTCAGAGAAATCATCAACAGATTAAATTGAGGAAGGAAGGAGGGATGTTGAAGCGGTCAGAGGAAGTTCGAGGGCCGTGAGGCGGAAGCTGTATGACAACCATGTAGCAACACACTGCACCAAGGAATAAAGTGTGTGTGAATATGTATGGCTGTAAGGACAATTGTTCTCAACAAAAACTGGGTTATGAGGAGCAACACTCAGGTGCCATAACACCCAGTACTCAAACCCCTCACATGTCAGTGTTATAAATCCAGAGGTTGGAGTTTTAAAAATAAACCAAGTGACTATATCTATAGGTGCTCCACAGATATTTGGATAAAGCTGCTTTTGTTCAAGGAGAGGCCACAGAGAGGGAGCTGAATAAGACACTCAGTCGTACACAACTCGCATCCAAGTCGATGGGTGGAAGTGAGATAGCCAGAACAGATGGAAAGAAACTCCAAATAAGGCAGCAGGATTAGGGATTGAGAAATCAGCACCCTGTACATCAGCTCAGAGACTCTGCCTTCAATTCTCATATTTCACTGTAATCCCTCCTTCATATTAATCATGCATATTTACTCATATAAAAGCTTAGAAAACAAATATTCGACAGACTTCTAGACTTGTTGACACTTTTTAAGGAGGTGGTTTTTAAGGACGATCCTGGAATTTTGATCAATTTTATTTTACTTGCATCTGGAAGTTTTGTTTGGTGAGTGTCCTCTTCGCAAATGTTAAAGTTTCTGGTTCCTGACTGAGTCGTTAATAAAGAGCATGTGCAGCGATTCTGAAGTGATTTATCTTAAACTCCTACTGGAATCAGTGCAGGACAAAAGAAAAGTGTCTAAAATGTTAAGTAAGACGACAGCGGGGCAGACGAGGAGCTCCGGGATGAAAACATGCAGATGTCTGATGCAACATATCAGGGAAAATCTCCGTCTTAATCTCTGAGCAAAACTATTTACCTTGATTTTGGAAAAGTCTAACTTGCAGTTCGGTTTTGTTAAGTTTTGGGTAAATTTGAGCAGAACTCAACCTTAGCTTTCCTTCATAAACTACTAATTCTGCTTTGAATGAATGGATGAATGAATGAATTTATTTGAATGAATTTTATTTATTTCGAACATGATAGAAGTATAAAATCACACACATGAACAAGGAATGCAAAAGACACATTTTTCTAATACAATAATCTTAACAAGCTCAAAAAAAGCAGGAAGAAGTAAAACTTGTGAACTCTGACCCCATAAACCCTCATATTTAAATAAAATATAACTAAACATAAGTTAATTAATTCTCCATTTTATCTGGGTTTACATGTCTAAATGCATTCATCCATTCATCCACACTCATTCATATGCATTTGCCTCAATTTACACATAAGTGCCACCCATATTTCTATTTTCTATATATATATATTTCCTTTTAAATTGTATTAACTTTGTTTTAACTCCTTATTTAACTTTTTCCATAATTTTACACCATGAATTGAAATCCAGTTGCATCAAATCTCCTGTAGCTGTTTCTGGTCAGAAGCTGCTCATGGGAGAAAACACAGCAGGGAGGCTCATCACTGGCGAACATCTGCTGTAGATCAGAACAAATGAAACTTTGTCTTCTTGAACGTCTAACTCCCTTGTCATTTCCTGTTATTTCAAAACAGAAGGGATCTGCAGTGATTTCACAATCCACATCTGGCCAGAAAAACTAAATTCCTGTTTTCCTCGCTCACAATCCTCACTGGGACTTCTGTTGGAGACAAAGAGAGCTCTTATGTTCCCCAATAATATAAAATCCAACAATGTTCTCTGTGTCACTGAGTGTTTTTATTCGAGTGGGTGCTGCACTGTCATGAGACGCAAATGAACCAAACGCACCAAGACTGAAGGAACCGGTCGACAAGAACTGCATGTCTTAAATTACACGAGTAAACGGGAGTCATGTGATCAGATGAATCAGGTGATGAGTGTTATCTGTGAATCTGTAAAGCATCCTCTTCTATCGGCTGCAACAGCATCAATAAAATTAGCCGCTCCTTTCCTTCCTTCACGTTTATGATTTTTATTCCTTCTGGTCAGTTGAAACAGAACCAACATGTATATTATGGGATATTTTAAACCCTTTTCTTTCCTTTTGTCAGGAGGCGGTTGCTAGGCAGTACAGAAGTTGGGGTGGAGCTTGAAAATGTCAATATGGCCCCTCTGCTGCCCCCTGTTGGTACGGAGATGTTTAGACGCTTCACACCAGCCTCACTGGAGGAAATTCAGCGAAAGCATGAAGCTGAAGCGAAGCAGCAGCAAATCAGAAAGGATAAGAACATCAAGGTCTGGATAATCACCATAGATTATGTGTGACAGTAACAAACCCTAATCCTGATCTGACTGGTTTCTCTCTCACAGATAGCAAAGAAGTATCTTCCTAAACCGGCAGGCGATCTGGAGGATGGGCAGCCCCTCCCCTTGTTTTATGGAGACCGCGCCCAGGAGTTTCTCAACATCCCATTGGAGGACATGGACCCCTTCTACCAATCACACAAGGTGTCACTCTCCATTGAAGTTTTCAGAGAATTCAGAAATAGTTCTCTTTAAAAAAAATAATCAGAGCCAAATGTGGAGCAATTCCAAAATCTCAAAGTCCTAAATGCTCCATGCCTGATAGAATAAGGTTGACTTTCAAAGATGAAAACAACTCTGGTTTTGGTTTGTGCAAATAAATGATTTGAGTTGAATTAGGATGTAATTCTGTTTTTGCTCTGCGTCTTTGCAGACCTTCATCGTTCTCAGCAAAGGAAAAACCATCTACAGGTTCAATGCCGAACCAGCTTGTTACCTGCTGAGTCCCTTCAACTCTCTGAGGATCTTCTCCATCAGGATCCTCATCCATTCATATCCTTCATGCCTTCATCATGTAACTATGGCTCTTTTGAGAACACGTTTCTTAACAAGCCAATAGTTACATTGTAAAAGAGAGGACTTGCACACTGAAAAACACAAAATATTGCTGCGTAAACCTTGTCAAGTTTTTAGAGCAAATATCTTAATTCACTTGAAATAAGACAAAACTAATTTACATTTAGGAAATTTGTTATACGAGAAATAATCTGCCAATGAAACAGGAACATTTTCATCAATATTAAAAATAATTGACTAAGCTCCTAAATATTGCTGAAACGTTACTTGTAAGAAAGTTTTATTTTATTTCAAGTGTATTCTTTTCCTTAAAGCTAAAACTTTATTCAGTTTTTTCATCATGGCGGCTATCCTGACTGACTGTGTGTTCATGACCATGAGTGACCCTCCAGCATGGAGCAAGACGGTGGAGTGAGCATACACACATACACACACACACACACGCAAACGCACACGCACACACACACACAGAAACACATAGGCTCAGTTTATGGAAGCTCATTTCTACCATAATATAAACATAATATCGGTTAATATTGGTTATTTGTCATAAAATCAGTCCATATTTTCAGTTCAGTGCAGCCGTATTGAAAACCAAACGCCAAGGTGACCTATGACCTATGCAGAACATGTAAACGGACGCTCGGTGTTTTGGGGTCTTGACTCAGATCATGTCTTCCTGTTGTTGGACAGATATGTGGTCATGGTGATCTACACGTTTGAGGTAATCGTCAAAGTGTTATCCAGAGGGTTCTGCGTGGGAGACTTCACCTACCTCAGAAACCCCTGGAACTGGCTGGAGTTCATGGTCATCAACATGATGTAAGGATTAAAACATTCCTGGACAGACTGCATCCCGCTCAGATTTGTTTTACTTAGTTACGATGCTGAAGATAAATGAGAAGATAATGAGGAATGTCTCCGTTTTACAGATACCTGGCAGAGTTTACCCTCTTTCGAGATGTATCAGCACTGAGGCCATTCAGAGTTCTTCGAGTCCTGAAAATCATCACAGTATTCTCTGGTCAGTATGTCCGTTTCATTACAGAAACATGCCTGCTTGTAGGAGTCATGATCTTGTTTGGACTGAAACAATAAATGCTGCGTTCAGAACAAATTCAATTTGAGTGTTGGGGGCGTTTGATTTGTATGCAAAGTCAATGTGGATGCACATAAAAACGCTGAGCGTTTTAAGCTCTGGCGTTGTGCGCTGGAAGCACTTTGAGCACAGCTACAAGATGGCCGACGCTGGAAAATCAGAACTTTTGCAGCTGGGTTTGGAGCTTCAACCAATCAGAGAGACTCCACTATGTGGAGTGGCAGATGCACACAGTGTCACAGTTCACCAGATCATCATTAGCACTAAAAGCTTCCTTCATCAGCACGCAGCGTGAAACTCGCTGCGCGCGTGAGTTCAAGTCCAGAATTCAAATATCCGGTGAATTCTGGACTTGTGAATTCAAGTCCAGTGAATTCAAATATTAGTTTGAATTCACCCCTAACCCTAACCCTAACCCGACAATATTCTCTTGCTTTCTGTAAATGAAGCCAAGATTAGAACAGGCGTTTCGCAAAATGTTCACCTATTATCAATGCAGGGCATCATGTTTTCCAGAAGCCATATGGATAAATTATATAATGTGGCTCGGCATATCGTCACTGCGAAGTACAGACCATTTTAGATTGTTTTTTTTTATATACAACTGCACCTAGAAAAAACAGATCATTCATAGACTAAACCCAACATGATGAACTATTTCTAACTAATTGTTCTGTATCTTTCTTGCAGGTTTAAGGACAATCTTCAGTGCCGTCATCCAGTCGGTGAAGAAGCTGCGTGATGTCATGATTCTGACCTTCTTTTTTCTTAGCATCTTTGCTCTGATTGGTCTTCAGCTGTTCATGGGAAACCTCAGACAAAAATGCGTTATTACGTCGTCATACAATAGAAACCTATCAGAGGGAGCTTTCAACATCAGTTCCCACGAAAACAACAGCAGTGACTTTGATTTCAACACACACGTTAACAACCCAGGTAGCATGTTGAGTATTTTACCTCAGAAACCACAAACATCCACCTGAAAAGATGCAACTTCAGCCTGTCTTTGTGTCTCACAGACAATTATTACCACCTACCTGGTCATCTTGATGCGCTGCTGTGTGGAAACAGCTCTGATGCAGGGTAGCTTTAAGTAAACATCACGATTGTTATTAACATTATTGATTATGGTGATGATGATGATGATGATGATGATGGTGTATCCAGGACCTGTCCAGAGGGATACATGTGTCTGAAGGCAGGGAGAAACCCAAACTATGGGTATACCAGCTACGACAGTTTCAGCTGGGCGTTTCTGTCTCTGTTCAGACTCATGACTCAGGACTTCTGGGAAAATCTCTTCCACCTGGTCAGTACCCTGCAGCTCCTAATGCTGAGGCCAGACCCAGCATCATCTCACCTCTGTTTATCTGTGCAGACGCTGCGGGCGGCAGGTAAAACCTACACCATCTTCTTCGTGGTCGTCATCTTCCTTGGTTCCTTCTACCTCATGAACCTCATCCTGGCGGTGGTGGCCATGGCGTACGCTGAGCAAAACAGGGCGAACATCGCCAAGGCCAAACAGAGAGAAAGGGAGTATGCCCGCATCCTTAAGGAGTTAAAGGAAAGAGAAGAGAAGGTACAATGTGATGGAGAGAAAGCTTCCATCACGTTTCAGTACAAAGCTGAACGTTTGTTTTCTTTACATCAGATGGTCAAGAGGGCGGCGCCGTTGGAGAAAAACGGCTCTGCTTCACATGAGGACGATAACACCAGGGATGGTACACAGACACACTGATTATCCTGGTGTTGTGCAGCAATAGGTGTCTAGTTTTGGATATAAATAACAATAATCATTGCTCAAGGCAATTATTTATAAATGAGTGATTTAAACTACTTGGAGAGGGCAAGACCTCAACATCAGAAAAAAATATTCGCCAAATAGATCAGTCTCGGTTATTGTTGACTGAGTCATAGATATCTGGGAACTCAATCATTTGTCAACTGGCTTCATAATTACAAGTTCTCTAAAACGTAGCCATTCAGTTAGATTTATCTTCAGTTTTCTGGAACAATCCCAAAGATTAAATAAACTGAAGAGCAACAATAAGCAGATTGAGAAAACAAAATCTGTAGCTGTTGCTTAATTATTCTGAGCACGGGATGTAAATGTTCAGTGACTCAGCAGCTTTGTGTTTCAGACCTAGAGGACGACCAGAGGCCGCGTTCGTCACGCTGGTTCATCTTTGCTGACACCTTCCTGAAGTGGGATTGTTGTGGCTGTTGGAGACGGTTGAAAAAGCTTCTGCATACTGTTGTCATGGATGCATTTGTGGACGTCGCCATCACCATGTGCATTGTCCTCTACACTGTCTTGATGGCCATTGAGCATTATCCAGCGACTACGGAGGTTGAGGAGCTTATCAGCATTGGAAACCTGGTCAGTAACAGAGAGGAGAAACAGAGTCAGAGTGCATGTAGTGATGCCAAGACCAAACCCAGACTGATGTTTTGTCATTTAGTTTTGTGTGTGACTTAGAGCCAAACACTAACATAGTAGGTTCAGGGTTCTGGCATTAGGATTAGGGAAAGAAATGGGGAAACACATTAGGCTAACAAGATTGTAATGTCAGTGTTTATGAGGTAGAGAAATGATCTAACGTGTGACATTTGACCCCCAGGTGCTGACAGGCATCTTAACAGCTGAGATGGTTCTCAAAATTCTGGCGATGGATCCATATCATTACTTTCAGGTCAGGATTTTGTTTCTAAACTAATGGCATTTTTGTGATGGTGGTTACAGTCTCTTGTTGTTTTGGTTACAGGAAGGCTGGAATATCTTCGATAGCATCATCGTCACAATGAGTCTGGTGGATCTGGGACTGGCTGGTGTTCATAGTCTCGCTGTGTGGCGGCCCTGCAGATTGGTCCGTTCATCATTTCCTCAGTATGATTAAAAGGTGACCTTGCTTCTGTATTGTCCTAATGTCGCTGTTTGCCTCCTTATCTGTCCAGATTAGAGTGTTTAAGCTCGCCAAGTCGTGGCCGGCTTTCAACGTGTTGATAAAGATCATCCGCAACTCTCTGAGAGCCCTGGGGAACTTGACGCTGCTTCTCGCCATCTTTGTCTTCATCTTCACTGTATTTGGGATGCAGTTGCTTGAAAAGAGCTACAAAGATCATGTCTGTCCCATTGCCTTGGATTGTGAGCTTCCTCGCTGGCACATGAACGACTTCTTTCATGCCTTCCTCGTCATCTTCAGGATGCTGGTTGGCGAGTGGATTGAGACAATGTGGGACTGTATGGAAGTCGCAGGGAAGCCTACATGCCTGATTGTCTACATGATGGTAGTGGTGATCGGAAAACTAGTGGTAGGTCCAAGTCTCTTTCTAATCTGAGTTTGGTCGATTGCTAAACACTTTCAAGATATGAATACGTTTCTGACATCGTTCCAGGTTCTGAATCTGTTCCTAGCCTTGCTGCTAAGCTCATTCAGTGGGGATAATCTTGCAGTTACTGAAGATGAAGGAGAGAATAATCTCCAGATTGTGATAAACCGGATCAGCAGGGGCACAGCAAGGACTAAGGCCCGGTTCTGGACTTTGGTGGGAAAGAAAACAAACGTAAACTCAGATGTAAATGGTGGGAACAAATACTTGTTAAAGCATAAACAATAGTTTAATGTTTATCTTTTGGTCTTCATAGTTATTTTTTTCTTTGCATTTTATGTTTTTAGATGTAACTTGTGAAGAAGGCGACAAATCAAAGGAAATTTTACCTCTGACAATCGTAAATTCACAGCAATCGGTGGTAAAAGTCCAAGACCCCGAAGAAACCAAAACCTGCTTCGAAGCCAAATCTGACTCTGAGATATCAAAAAGTAAAGATGATGAGGATAATGAGGAGGAAGACAAAGATGAACAACTTCCACAAGTAAAATTTGAGGATTTTGGTTCTGTTACAGACTTGATTGTGCTGTAGTGGTTTCCCTTTATATTCATAGAGAATAAATGCCTGCGGAGCCTTTTAAATTCAGGAAGAACCTCTGAATAAATGCTGTAAGTTGTTCATGCTAAGGTCTGTCTTTGCTTAGGGTGAAAAGTCTTTGGACTGCAGCGACATGGAGAGATTTCCTGTAATCTCAATAGTGAAAGAGGTAGAAAGCACTCCTGACGATTGTTTCACAGAAAGTAAGTGCACTGACAGAAAAATGTCTACTACCTTCGAATGTGATCATTGAATTTAAAATTAACTGGGCCCGGTGCATTATCAATAGAATAAGAACTTTAAGTTCAGCTGTTATTTGGTATTCTATCCAGTCGTTTAGCTTCATAAACAATAATATTTTTAAACTCCATGTTTTTCAGAGTGTTACAGTTGCTGTCCATGCCTGGATATAGACACGTCCCAGAGCATAGGAAGGATCTGGTTACATATCAGAAAAACTTGCATCGCCATCGTAGAGTCCAAGTACTTTAAGTCATTCATCATCATGGTGATCCTGCTGAGCAGTGCAGCTCTGGTAAACTCCATCAAACAATGTTTAACATCATTTTAGCTGATCTAATCCCTGGTTGTTGTGTCTTTAACATCTCAGGGTTTTACTCTGAGGCTTGTTGATGGGCCGGTTCAATGAGGCTGAGCAGGTTTTAGCAAACTAATCTGATGCTTGGCATGGCTAGCTGTGGACTACAAGCATGGCTGACAGTGTGACTACTAACATGGCTACTAAACAGACACAGGTGAGATGATTGGACTTTATTAACCCCTTCTAAAAAAGAGAATATTATAAAAACAAATTACAGTAGACTAAGACCCATCTGATCCCTCTATTTTTTAAATGCTACTTGACTTTTTATTGGCTGGAGTTTGCCAAGCAGCCAACCCAGGAGCAGCATTATAGCAGCATAGGGAAGACTGCAGATCTTACCTTCTGCAGTAGTGCTAAGAGGGTTCCCACCTGGGGTGCACCGATTTATCGGTCAGCCGATTTACTTCACTTTTAGAGTAGATCTTATCTACCTCAGCAAATATCTAAAAATCTACCACTGTCCTCTTTTGTCACCCCACTGTTGCAGTGACTTTATTGCAATATTTAGCAATATTTCAGACACAAAAAAGGGTATTGACCAAAATAGAAATTGGAATTGCAGGCTTTTTAAAAATCGGAAATCTGCGATTGTCCAGAAAACTGTAATCTGTGCACCCCTAGTTTCTACTGCACACATTCATACATATAAAGGTATATTTGGTGTTTGAACAATTATAACAGACAGTCACAAGAGATTTCAGAGAGGGGTCATAATTGAAGTCACAGATTTTAGCTAGTCATGGAAATGTGTGATGCATAACCAATGAGAACCCCAGGGGTACCGAATTGTAGACCTAAATATGGTCTACAATAAGGGTATGAATAACTTTTGGGCTTGACCGTATCAACAAATGTTCAGGATACTGTTTATTTCTTAGTCTTGAAGGTTCATGATTGGCTCTCAGGTCAGCCTTCTTTAAATTAAATCTCTTCTGTGATTTTCAATAGAGCTTGGTACTAATTCTCAGAACATCCTCAGTCCAATGTCTCTGCCATTTAGCATCTATCTCTGACTCTTCTAGATGACGGTTGTGAATATCAAACCGAAACAGATGAAATGAATGAGATTTATCCACTAAAAACCTGCTAATGCACTAATTGTCCAGCTGGTGACATCAAATATTGTTAACAGGCCTTTGAGGACATCTACATTGAGCAGCGCCGGGACATCAAGATAATTCTGGAATATGCAGATCAGGTTTTCAACTTCGTGTTTGTGGTGGAGATAATTCTCAAGCTGAGCGCCTCTGGATGTAAAACCTTCTTCTCCAACGCCTGGTGCTGGCTGGACTTCCTTATTGCAGATGTAAGGACTGTGATTAATCTTTCTGTGAAGGCATATGTACTCCTTCATATCTTCACCAAGAGCCTTCCTGTGAAGGTTCAGCTCATCTACATGTTGTTTTTCAGGTGTCTCTGGTGTTACTGTCAGCAAGCATCCTGGGATACTCTGAGCTGGGAGCTATCAAAACTCTGAGGACTCTGAGAGCATTGAGACCCCTTAGAGTCTTGTCTTGCTTTGAGGGCTTGAGGGTAAGACTGGCAGTTTAAATCGTGATATATTACTGTCTGGTTGGTTTAGCATTTCACTCACTCCTGTCGTATCTGCTGGCGGTTAATGCCTTGGTTGGTGCCATCCCCTCCATCTTCAACGTGCTGCTGGTCTGTCTGATCTTCTGGCTCATCTTTAGCATCATGGGTGTGAACCTGTTTGCAGGGAAGTTTTATCACTGCTTCAACGAAACATCAGAGGAGCGTTTCCTTCCTGAGGATGTCAACAATAAAACCCAGTGTCTCGATTTGATTGAGAAGGGCTCCTCCGAGGTTCGCTGGAAGAACACAAAGATCAATTTTGACAACGTTGGGATGGGCTACCTGTCTCTGCTGCAAGTGGTCAGTCAGAAAGCCAACATAAAGGATTCTACTGTTTCTTTAACATTCAGATAGCTTTAGATTTGTAAAATAAATCATATGTTGTTTTCTTTAGGCCACATTTAAAGGCTGGCTGGACATCATGTATGCAGCGGTGGACTCCAGAGAGGTCAGAACTTCTCGTACTGGTGCTGATACAGTTCCTGGTCTTGCTTAGCATTTCCCCCAGTACATCACGCCACTTTTCACTCAAAATCGTCTGTTTGGAAGGTGCTTTTGTTGAGCAGGTTTGCATGAATACTGCACCAACGTACGCATCAAGTATAAAATCCTGACTGGTTCGGCGCAAGTGGTCACACTTAGAGGTTCTTCTTGAGAGCGCAGTGAGACTAGCGTGAGCACATAGGCGTAACTCACGCTCACTCAATACATGTTCTGGCAGACGACTGGCTCCATGCCTGTGCTTGGAACCTGATAAAGCCTATTTGATGAATTAATCAATTTCTCTATTGATCCCAATTGATCTTAAATGTTGTTGTGACTCATTATCCAAGGGTTTTCAATGAGTTGTTGTAGAGGCTAATGGTTGTGGGCAGGAAGGATCTCCTGTAGCAGTTTGACTTACTGAAGGTACCGTTATTTTATGTCTCATAAGGTCTCTGGGTTGCCATTATTTAAATGAGCCACACCATCAGCCAATCACAAATAACTGTTTTTCATCCAATCAGTGTATTAGTTGCAACTACCGTATTGGCTTAAACAAAAGATAACCAATCACAAGTTACTCCAAGTTTCATGCTATAGCTTTATTATTATTATTATTATTATTGGTGTTGAACCTGGTAAAACTGTTGACGGTGTATTAACTGCTATGTTGTCCCTGGTTACTGGGATTTAGGTGGAGTCTCAGCCAGTGTATGAGGACAACCTGTTCGTCTACTTGTACTTTGTCTGCTTCATCATCTTTGGCTCCTTCATTCCTTTCTGCCTCTTCATCACTTCACTCATCAACTTCAACCAGCGTAAACCAAAGATAAGTTTCTTTTCTATGAGCGTTTCTCCATTAGAGCAGCTCAAACTGGTTCTGCCCCAGTAGCCTTGACCAGAGTCATTTCCCTCAGCAGATCCCAAACCCACTTAAAGGATAGTTAGTACAAGTCACGCAGAAGCAGTTTAATTGACACAGATGGCATTCGTTGATTGGTCCAGTGGACATGTCATTGACTGAAAAAGAGCACCAGACTGTAATTAAGAGTTCAATCTTTTGGAGCCAATAATCGTATAAGTAGCACAGCTCTCTAATGAACGTCAGGAAAGAAGAAGCAACAAACGATTCAGCTCTGGTCAGTAATCTGTCAGAGTTACAGTTTTGTGCCGATCAGTGTAAAAGTCTTGAACTGGCTAATATTAGTATTCCATCTAAAGAAAATTAAACGCCACACTATGTAGATAGATTTTTACATAAAGGATAAATAATCAGTTGAGTTGAATTCTTTTTGTTGTATTTTGTTTCTATAAGACAAAATGAAATATGTAGGATTATTTGAGAGTTCAACAAACCACGAGCCGGAGGTTCTGCATTGCTGAGTGTTTTAACAAACATCATCATCGGAGAGCCAATGACAACTGGTGCTTATTTGCTCCCCGCCCAGAACAGTGAGGCACCTGACCCTAATGGAGAACCAACCGACCTAACTAGAACCAACCCAGTTAGTAAGCAGTTAGATCGAGACTTAGCAGTGGAAAAATGGCTGATGACCCAATAATGAGTAATTTTCTCTGTTTCCCTCTGTCAGTTGTTTAATATTTATGTCTGTGTGTTTACCCTGTAGAAATAGAACCGCCGATAAAATGGATGCCCAGAGAGCCTCCGCCCCGACCGACGGTATGTTTACGGACCTTCTGTAGACCTTGAATAAAACCAAACTGTTAACGTTGGTCAAAGTTTGAACAACTTGACTTCTGTTTCTAGAACAAGTTTCAGGGTCTAGTCTTCGACCTTGTGACCCATCCGTTTTTTGACATCTTCATCATGGTGTTGATCTGCCTTTTCACGTTGATGATGATGGTGGAAACAGACGACCAGAGTCCGGAGATGGAAGAAATCCTGTACTGGGTCAACTTCGTTTTCATCATGATCTTCAGCACAGAGTGTTGTCTCAAAATCTTTGCTCTACGAAAGCATTACTGTTATGATGGGTGGAACATATTTGACCTTGTGGTGATAATATTCTCTATTGTTGGTAAGGAGGAAGCACATTTCAAGGTTTTGTTAAACTATTTTGCTTCATTTAGAGAAAGAACAATATATTTCTAACTTCCTCTGTCCTTTCTCTTTGTCAGGTTTATCTTTTCATACTCTCTTCCGTGTGACCCGACTGGCTCGCATTGGCCTGATCCTCCGTCTCATTCGCAGAGCCAAGAGAATTAGAAAGCTGTTGTTTGCATTCAGAAAGTCCCTTCCTGCTGTATTCAACCTATGCATCCTCCTCTTCATCATCATGTTTGTCTTCTCCATCTTTGGGATGTCGAATTTTGCTTACGTGAAGCAGGGGGCCATGATGGATGACTTGGTGAACTTTGAGACCTTTGGGAACAGTATGATCTCCATGTTTACGATCACCACATTAGCTGGATGGGACGGTCTTCTCTATCCCATCATGAACACACCTCCAGACTGTGATCCAGACTTTGAAAACCCAGGCACGTCTGTCAGGGGCAACTGCGGCAGCCCGGCAGCAGGCATTGTCTTCTTGACTTTGTATATCATTGTGTCCTTTCTGGTGGTGGTCAAGATACAGATCACCATCATCCTGGAGGTATTTAACGTCGCTGCAGAGGAGAGCGCCAACACACTATCTGAGTACAGCATTGATATGTTCTATAAAACCTGGGAGAGGTTTGACCCACAAGCTTCGCAATTTATTCACTACAGGTGAGTCTCAGCAGGTGAATGACCTCCTGTGAGACTTGGCTTCTTGTCCTGGTGAACCTGATTGTAACCTGATGTGTTTCACAGTGAGCTGTCAGATCTCTGTGATGCTCTACCGGATCCTCTCAGGATCCCCAAGCCCAACACCGTCAACCTGCTACAAATGGACCTGCCTTTGGTTCAAGGAGACAGGGTCCACTGTCTGGACGTCCTGCTAGCTCTCACTGAGGAGGTAACACGATCATATCATCTTTTCTCTGGCAGGCAGATTGATGCAGACCGTGAACAGGTTGCTCAAAGGGTTTAGTTTGGTTGACATTGCAGTGTGAAAAAGAACCGCGGTGGTTGAAAATGTAACTAATGTTGCAAATGAACCGGGTCTATCGGACAATCAGGTGTGAGGTAAACACTAGAGGTCAGGAATATCTTTTATTGATTGATTGAGATTGATCTGTAATTCTATTGATTCCCAGACAAAATCAATACAATTCTGGGTACTCTCTCTGATCAATATGGACTCAGTTTTAACTTGATATTGATCAACAATTAGTCTGAATTTGTGGTTAAAAATCTTGTGACAATAAAATTACACATCTGTACAAACTGGAAGCTATAAAGTGTGACAGATTAACATTATTTTTGTAATAATTTCAGGTTTTTGGTGAATCCCAGGCAACAGAGGAACTAAAGTCAACCATGGAGTGGAAGTTCCTGGCCAAAATTGCTTCAGAGGTTTTATCAAAATCTTATTTCTGTTTCAGTCTTGACTTATCTAGGTTATTTTTCATAGAGATCACATAAAAAAGATCATTTATCCAACTGCATTGATGTAGTTATTTCCTTTTCAGGAGAGTTTAAGACCAATCGTCAGCACCTTTCGAAAGAAACACGAGGAGATGGCAGCAACAGCGATCCAGAGAGCCTACAGGAGACACGTTCAGGAGCGAGGGAACAAGCAGGAGTCCTACCAGTAAATGGAAAAGACAGAGGGACAGGGGGGACAATCTGTCTCCACCAGAGACGGAGGGATTTCTCTGTAAACCAATGGCTCAGCTGTACGGAGACAGTCTTAAAACTCTTTAACAGAAGGTTTGCCTTTCACCAAATGTGAAAATTAGTTTCTGGAAGCGAAGCGGAGGAGGTTGGGTCAGGCAGCAATGATAAGTGATGCAGCAAAGGATTATAGGAAGTTTAATTGAAGTCGCATTTTTGAGGAAAGGAAATTTTATTTACATTTCAGGAACAAGAAAATACAAAGTGCTTGGCCGAGTGACATATATACGATAGTGGCGATATTATATTGGATATCGATATTTTCCCAAATTTTCAGATATATCAAGAAAGAATAAAAGAGAAAGTACAGATTGTACTCCTTAACCTTAAAGTAAAAACGTATAGCTTTTACAAATATTTTAACAAATATTTTCACCTCCAAAGGACTTCAGAGGTCTAGTAAACTAAAACAAAGTTTTAATCATATTAAGTACATTAGCTTTTATGTTTTGCTCATAACTTGTTACATTTTAAAAATTATTGATAGAATCTGTTTTTTCTTCCAACCGAATTGAAATGTACAGCAGTCACACATACGCAGAATACTTTGTGAGATTCGATACTCCACCAAACCTGAATTTAACAGAAGTTGTGTTGATTTAAACCACTTTTCCATTTTAGCAAGAAGTTAAAGCATTTTAATTAACATATAAACTTCATATCTGTTTTAATTTTATTTTTTTTTTATAGACAAATATGTTGCTTTGTAACTGTGTATTGTTTTTGCAGATGTTTTCTGTGGAAAGCAAGACATATGACTAAAAAAAACCTGCAAAGAATTGCATGATTTCTCACCAGATGAACCACCTTCGTAATGCCTTAATTAATGGTCGTATTTACCGATTCTTTTAGTTTATAACTTATATGAAGAAGCTGGTTTTACACCTTTCATTCATACTCAGCTAAATGTGAACTAATCATGTTGAACTAATCATTCCATTAAGTTGTTTGTTAATGGGATTTTGTTGTATTTAACTATATACCATCTAATTATAACTGGACAATGACATTGTCATAAATTCTGTATCAGTTGTTGTTTGCAGAAATGCATTTTCACTTGTTATTGTTGTTATCCAATATTTCATGCATATTTTTGTCTACCATTATTTTCAGTAAACATTAAACGTTTTGTTTAGACCTTACCCAGAGTTTGGATATTATTAGCACTTGTTCAACATGCAAGCACAGACTGGAATGTATTTATTAATATTATTACGACAATGATGGTATCCAAACAAATTAACGTTTTTTTATGAGGTCAGATGGAAAAACAGAGGCGCAAATACTCAACAAAAAGTCATACATGTTGACATTAATCTAAGAACATTTCTGGAAAAACATACATTTCAAAAGTTGGAAAATTTTAACTTTATTTGCCGAGTTTCAAAAGTCAAAAACGTTTAAAGTTGAAACTCAGAAATTACAAAAATTTTCCACAAAATTTATTAAGCTCAAAATTTTGACTTTTGAAACTCAGAAATTTCCAAGCTTTTTCTTGAAAATTGAAAATGAAAAATGTGGGACTTTTTGGATGAAATTTTAAACATTTTTGGACCTAATACACCACTGAAGTTTTGCAAGTAGTATCACATTATTATTGTTATTATTTTTCATAATGGAATTTAGTGCCATTTGCAAAAAAGAATAGAAAGTATATTTATTTCTCTTGAAATTGCAGGGAAAGTAAAATGTCTTCAGAAAAATAAATACTTAAAAACAAAAGTAGAAACATCTGCTTGCACTGAAGTACTTTTACTTAATTACTGATGAACGTGACACATTTAAGCTTTCGAAGCAGCTCTTTACTTCACTGAAGAACTAAATATAGCACAGGTTTGCACTGAATAAAACTTTTGTTTTCTCTGTCTGAAAGTCAGACAATTTTTTTATTGTTTTAGTTTAGTAAAAAAAAAAAATTGGTAAAAGCTAAAAAGCTTAGCGAAAACATATTTTAAAGATTTTTGTTTTTTGTACAATTTTTCAGAAGTTTACATGCATTTGATGAAATCTAGGATTATGAGCTTTGGATAAACATTTCCTTCCACAAATTTCTCACAACACCTCTTTGTAGTTTCGGCCCGTTCCAATTTATAATTTAAGCAATAAATAAATAAAAGGCCTTGCAAAAGAGATAATTAGTTGCACTTTCACAAGTATCAAGGATCAGGTTCCAAAAATAAAAACAACAAGTTGTAAGTTTTGTCAAAAGATGCATCAGATTCATGAATATCTGCAGAGACAGCTTTAATTCAAACAGTATCAGTGAAGTTAAGCAGGGAACCTGCTGCAGGACACAGATCCACATGCACAGGTGACAGCATCGCCAATGACAATGTAAATATTTAAACAGATCAAGGCCACAATGTCTCTGTGATACACATATCATTAATAAACCAAGTGGCATCGAAGACATTATGTTCATAAACAAGAGCAAAGCAATGATTTCATTCTGACAAACAGGCGGTTATAAAACCATGACGTCTGGACCCGACAACAGAGAACGCACAACTCAACTACACACTGGAGCACACAAACTAACACAGTTCAACACACAGAAACACACAGCAGTAAACACTGCAACACACACCGGTAACACTGCAACACACACCAGTAAACACACTGCAACACACACCGGTAACACTGCAACACACACCAGTAAACACACTGCAACACACACCGGTAACACTGCAACACACACCAGTAAACACACTGCAACACACACCGGTAAACACACTAATGTTACTGCATGACACACTGCAACACACACATCAACCAATCAGGTTTATTTGTGTAGCATGTTTCAGGAACAATCAGCTCAAAGTGCTTTACATTGTAAAGATGTAAAATAAAAAATAAATAAAATAAAGAAGTAAAAAGTCAAAAAAAAAAAAAAAAAAACAGTCAACAAATGAGGAACCAGGGACATTTTGACCATATTCAAAAATCGTCAATACATTTCGAATATATTTGAAAATGTTCCATTGATCACGGTTCAAAAGCAGCTCAACACAGGTGGGATTTCGCCTAGATTTCAATGAAGTCAGTGTTTCGACTGTTTTGCAGTTTTCTGGAAGTTTGTTCCAGATTTGTGAGGCATAGAAGCTGCATGCTGCTTCTCCATGTTTGGTTCTGGTTCTGGGGATGCAGATCAGACCAGAACCAGAAACCAGAACAATGAAATGACACACTAATGATTCTAGTGACACACCAGTACTCCCACTAACATCCAGAATAAACCTGAAGACAATAATAACCACTTTTCAGCGTTCAGTAGCTGATAGAATAAGACCAAATGAGCATTTCTGGCCTAAATCTGTAGAATCTGGTTCTTTGAGCAACTGGAAAATGAAATCATGAATTTAGTGCCTGACGTGACACAACATCCCTGTGTTCCCACCAGGGCCTAATTGGGAAGTGTTTGGGTCGGTCCAGTAAGCCGGTTTCAGTGTGCAACTCTCTCCATTTCCTGTTGCGCTGAATAAATTCAGAACCATGTGTGATGCAAGTCTGATCAACTGAACATCTGTGAATAAATTCACGCATCCGAGGACGAAAACATCAAACATCTGAGACTAACTCCGACATTTGGACCTCATGTTTTCCTGATTTCATTTCACAAGCAACAGCAGGCGAGACATTTATTGTTTCCTGAGTTTTACTTTGACGATATTTGGTTTTAATCAGAGGTGCGTAAAGTACCCGAGTAAAAGTATCAACATGTTTTTACTCAAGAGAAAGCAAAAAAAGCAAAAAAGTATTTGGTAAGAAGTCTAACTCACCAAATTATCTAATATGTAAAAATTACATCATCAGACGGAGCAAAATATTAAGCTAAGTGGAAAGTTTGGTATTTTAAGGACCACAATGACAGTAATTCAAAAAGAAACAAAACATAACATGAGGCAAAAGAAAATGTTTCCAAGAAGACACTGAGCTCAACTTTCTTCTTCGTGAAATGTGAACAAAAGTTGAGTGGCGTCAGATTTTAGTGGTTGTAGAATTTCTTTTTTGTGTTTGGTAAAAGACCGTGAGTCATTTATTTCTCTCGCTACATTGATTTTGGCTCCGTTTACCCAGAATGCTCTGCGCTGTAGTTCACTTCCTGCTTTTGGAGCGGCCTCTGACCTCCAGACTTCACAACCTGACACAGAATCAGACTGAGGCGTGATTCCTCGCTCCAGAAAGAAATCACGTCTTTCTGGGAATTGAACCATCACCTTTCAGTTCACCAGAAGTCACCATGTTGACCTTCAAGTCTGAAGTCTAAAGTTTGGAGGTGTGAATCCACTTCTATGCACCTCAGATCTGGAACAAACTTCCAGAAAACTGCAAAGATGCTGAAACCCAGAGTTCTGGAACACAGATTTATTTGCTTGATAATTTTGATGAAGGCCTTTGATCAAATGTAATGCTTATTAATTGTTTCATAATTGGTTACTGTACTGTTTTCATGATGCACTTTAAACTGTCTTGTTGCTGAAATGTGCTACTAATAAACATGACTGACTGATTTTTTTTTGTTGTCTTTCTGAAAGACAGAAGAGACAGACAATTGCTCGAATAATTAATTGGTATGAAAACCTAATTAAAAATATGACTTTACGACTTAAACGATTTAGATGACAAAAATATTTGGAAATGTACAAGTAGCATTGTGTTTGTGAATATACTAGGAGATGTACTGTAAAAATATGGAGCATTTCAGTTCATAATAACATGAAAAACTGTTAAATTATGAAAGATTTCTGCCAGAAAGTCTGTGAAAAAAAAAACTGAGAATGTACTGGCAGAAAATTCCCAGAACATTTTCTGTTTCTTTTTAGTTTGTACCAATAAATTTTGGATGTAAATTAACACAAAAAGTTACAAGAGACAAACATTTCTGTCCTGGAAATGTAAGAAAAAAATGTACATGCATCCTAAAAATGTATAACATTTTAGCTTCACTGCATAAAAACAAGACCCTATAAAAGCCAGTTCAATATCACCTGTTAGCATTTTACCTGTCTGGATCATTTCCACTGATGAAACTCGACATGAAAACTTGTTTTGCTGAATAGACAGATTTCACATTTGTCTTTATTTAGCGTTAAACTTGACGCTGAAGCAGGCACCTGAAACTCCACAGCCCCGTTTTTAGCAGTGCAGCACGGGTCGGTGCGATACTTTATGGCCTGATGTGTTCAGGAGAGTGTTTCCACTGCAGGTTGGACATGTGATATGGTCAAGAAATATAAATGAATACATGAAAAAGAACAAAATGTTTTTATTATTTCGTCAGTGTGGTTTGTTCTTTAGTTTTATACAATGTAGCAGTTGGAATGTTGGAGGGTTTGGATGGAGCCGGTGCAGCTTGGAGAACATCGTGTCTGGAGCGGGGTTTCCAGCGCCGACCCGCCTTTAATGCTGCATGAGGATCACTGGAAGGTGTCCATGTTAATGAGACCAACACAGGCCTGTTTGCTCGTTTCATGTTTCTGCTCCTGAATTTAAGCATCAAACTTTCAGCTATAAAACCTGAAAACTCTGAGCTGGACCATCAGAACGCCCAGCAGCCCAACTGAGATCAGAACAAGCAGAACCACAACTGATCCCACATCAGCCATGGACCGAGGTAAGACCAGGACATTTTAAACGTCAAACGTGTCAGGCTGCCGTGGGAACTCTGGTGATGCTGCCGCCGCTCACCTGTCTCACCTGTCTCACCTGTGTCTCCCAGCCATCCTCCTGCTGTCAGTCATGTGTCTGGGCGTCTCCTCTCAGCCAATCGCAGACAGCCAGCGGCTGTTCTCCATCGCCGTCAGCAGAGTCCAGCACCTCCACCTGCTCGCTCAGAGGTTCTTCTCTGAATTCGTAAGTCTACGGAAGCTCTGAAGGACAAAAACTGCAACCGTCCATGCAGTTACACTGCAAAAACACAAAGTCTTATCAACAAATTTGGGCTTTTATTGTGGCTATCTTAGTAAAACTGACTTAACATCAGAATTAGGAGTTTTTTTTCCCAGTCAATAATTATTTGACATTGATGAAAGTATTAGATCCATTGGTAAATTATTTTCCTTATAACAAGACAGTTTCCCATGTTATAAGTGAATTTATCTCAAACATTTTCATCAATTTTAAAGAATTATTTTCTTAAAACAAGCTCCTAAACCTTGCTGAAAAGTCTCTTGTAAGTTGGTTTTTCCTACTTCAAGTGTTATGAGACATTTGCAGTAGAAATCAGGGTAACACTTTATTTGCAGGGCAGTACACAACACTCACATGACGCTGTCATAAATATGACATAACACCTGTTCTGAACATGAAGGCGTCTATGACTTTTGTCAATCTGTAAATAATTGTGTTTTTAGTGCAAAGTTGCACCAAAGTTCATTAAAAACGTTAACTTTGCATTATTCTGTAAAAAATGACTCTTTTAAGGCAAAATTCTATTAAAACTTGCACTAAAAGTCTATTAAGTGTCTATTTATCGATAAATACAAAATGTACTTTTAATAAACTTTTATTAAACTTTTAGTGCATTTTTGCATCAACAGTCTCAGTCTTATGCACATTGCTGCAAATAAAGTGTTACTGCATCTGAACCAAAAATACTTGCTAAGATTTTGTGTTTTTGCAGCGTACAGTGTCTATGCCTGTGACTGATGCGTACCTGTGTGTACCTCTGTGTGTACATGTGTGTACCTGTGTGTACCTGTGTGTATCAGGAGAGTTCCCTGCAGACGGAGGAGCAGCGGCAACTCAACAAGATCTTCCTGCAGGATTTCTGCAACTCGGACTACATCAACAGCCCCATCGACAAGCATGAGACACAACGCAGCTCCGTCAGTACACATCGCAGTCCTACACAGTACTACAGAGTACTACACAGTACTACACAGTACTACACAGTACTACAGAGTACTACAGAGTATTACACTTCACTACAGGGAATCACAGTTCTACACAGCTCCAAACAGAACAGTAAACTACAACACGAAAATATACAGCTCTACGTTTGCATAGAATGATACAAAACTATAGACTATGACACAATACTACACAGTACTACACAGTACTACACAGTACTACACAGTACTACACAGTACTACACAGTACTACACAATACTAAGCAAAACTATAGAGCATTGAACAGAACTGCACCATATCAAACCTGATAGAACTACAAAACACTTTGCTGTACTACACTAAACCTCACCATACAACAGAGTACTACAAAGTACTACAGATGATTATAGCATACTACACAATATAGAACCACAGCTTGGGTCCGTTACCAACGGTTCTGAACCTGGTGGTAGTTGGATCGAGCTTCCGAATCCGCTGTGGATCTGCTTTGCTTTGACTGCAGGTGCTGAAGTTGTTGTCGATCTCCTACCGCCTGGTGGAGTCCTGGGAGTTTCCCAGCCGATCTCTGTCTGGTTCCGGTCCGAGGACCCAGATCTCACCCAAACTGACGGAACTGAAGACGGGAATCATGCTGCTGATCAAGGTGAGAACCATTCCTGCAAAAATATCAACAAGTATTTTGGTCTGGTTTCTAGTAAAAATACCTCATTACATGCAAAATAACCCAAAACTAACTTATAGTAACTTTTTATCAAAACAAAACAGTTTGTTTTGAATAAATAAAAGAATGTCTTGTTATAAGTGAAATAATTACTTTTGCATCGATATTAAGGAATTATTGACTTAAAACAAGCTGCTATATCGTGCTGAAAAGTTACTTGTAAGTTTATTTTCTCTAATTTCAAGTGTAATATATATTTACCATAGAAAAATACTTGGTAAGATTTTGTATTTTTGCAGATATTAAAACTTGTTAGACAATTTTTCAAACCTGAGACTCTCCAGTATGAGGGTAAGAAGTTTGGTGGTCGAGCCACATCAACCAATTTCACTCATCAACACTGAAAAAATGTTTCTGTGAAGCAGCTTTAAAGGGAAAAAATGACTAATTTGTTCCAGGTAATTTTATTCTTCATTACTGTCTCGGGTAAACAGAGTGTCTTCAGTCAGAGGCTTCTTCAAATTCACTGTGATTCAGACTGCTATAAGGCGCCAACAGTCACCACTATCGATTTATGATTTGAGGAATTTGAATTACTATGTTACAGCAACATTTAGGATAAATAAAGTATTTTTTAATTGAATTTGAATTAGTTTTGCTCAAACTATAATTCTGATTTCAGAATTATTCAAATTGAATTTATAGTTTGAGCAAAACCGATAAGATTAGTTGCAAGAAGTTAGTAATTTTTGGCTCAAAGTTTCTTTTTGGGAAATATTGTTTACTCTTCCAATGATCAGGAGTTCTTAAAACTAGAACAAAAAAAATCTATTTTTTTACATATTTGTTAAAACTATCATCAAATTCTGACAGATAATCTGTGAAAAAAAATGATTTCCTCTGCCTTCTCTCAGTGCTAACTGCAGCAATATGCCACTCGTTCAGGAGGAGGGTCTTAATGCAGTTAATCACGCTTATGTACACGCTCCTCTAACCCTGCCGGTCTCTCTACTACACTACAGCCAGCATAGCCTGTCATCTATGCTAAGGCTAGCTATAATGACAGATAAATAATTTTTCTGTAACTGCCATTAGCACCGTTAGCAGTGCGAACATGAGCTCGGTTGCTAGCGTTAAGACCGTCCTCCTGGCTCTGATTGGTTGTTTTTGACCGGGATCATTGTATTTCTGCAAATCGCTAAAATAGCTCAGTGAAGAGGCAGAGGAGCACGATTTTATTCTGAATATCTGGTTCATAGCATTCTGTCATGACAGACATTTTCAAAATAAAAGTTAAAACTGCATCTTCAATAAAAATCTTGCATCAATCATTTCTGTCTCTCTGTGAATCTGTCACCTGAGAAACTGACCTCCTGAGCTTGCAGGCCAATCAGGACGTACCAGAGATCTTTACTGACACCTCGGCCCTCCAGTTGGCGCCTTACGGAAATTATTACCAGAGTCTGGAAGCTGACGAGTCGCTGCGGAGAACCTACGAACTGCTGGCGTGCTTCAAAAAGGACATGCACAAGGTAAACTAAAGGTCAAAGGAGGTTGCCGTGATTTAACAATGACACAATGATGACGGCAACAAGGAAATCATTGCTCTTTCAGGTGGAGACTTACCTGACCGTGGCAAAGTGTCGACTCTCTCCAGAGGCAAACTGCACCCTGTAGCCACGCCCTCCCGGATTAAGCCCCGCCCCTTCTAGTAGCATAGATTCTGCTTGGTGTTGTGTTGTTCCAGCTGAAATTCTGACGTCGCTGTGATGGAAGCCGCCAACAGGAAGTGATGTCACAGCAGTCGTAATATGTAAAATAAAGTGTTGTCTGTGTTGCATTTATCTCCTGTTGTTTTCTGTGTTAAAAGTTGATTCTCTGGTTCTAACAGAACTTACTATTCAAGTCCTGATTAATTATCATCTGGTTTATTACCTGCAAAATTCACAGTTGAAAGAGCCATTTCTGCCCTTAATTCAGCAACATACCCCTTATAACAATGCATAAAAATATATGAAATAAAGTCATCAGAATTTTTCTGTCTTTAAATAACAAGTGCGTCGATAAGAGTTTAGGTTGGACAGTGCAATACTATATTGCTATATTGCTATACTATAATACTCATACTATATTGCTATAAATCCTAACCCTACCCTATATATTGCTATACTATTATATACCACTCAGTGGTATATAGCAGCACTAATTCAACATGTTTTTATCCAAGAAATTACTCAAGTCAGAGTAAAAACTTATCAAGTGTATTTTTTAGTATTTAAAAATTACATTATCAGATGGAACAAAATATACAGTTAAGTGGAAATGTTGGTATTTTAAGGACGAAAATAAAAAGTATTCACATAAGCATCAAAAATAAAAAATTTCCAAATCACTTTCTGTCAATAAAAACTTATGAAACTTCAACAAAAACTGCAGGTGTGTGTCTGGTGAATTTTTGTCTAAAACATGTTTGTTTTTCATTCAGAAGGTAGAAAATCCAGACATTTTATTGAAGTAAGAGTAGAAATACTTCATCATAACCTTACTCAAGTAAAAGTAAGACGCACAGCGTATAAATATACTTCCAAAAAAGTTACTCAAGTAAATGCAACTGAGTAAATGTACCTACTTACCACCCAACTCTGAATATCAGTATGACAGGAAATACAAATCATGACACGAACTCCCTCTGTACAAGCCGTCATTCGATCCAGGACCATTCTGTTCTGCAGAGTCATAAACCTCAAAGCAGCTAACTCTGGTTTAACGTCCCCAGAGCATCAGGATTCAACGCTGTAATTCAAGATTTCAACACGCAGCTAAACTTCCCCTGTTCCTGTACAGATGAAAGGAGGGATAAAATTACATCTCCGCTGTTGGTCCAGAACTTTCTATCTTCTGGAATATTAGAGCTTCGTGTTGGTCTGCTGCTGATTTAAGGAAATATTCCACCACCGAACGTCTACCTGGGACAGGGTGTCCAAGTGGGACTGGCGTCTGGAGCAGCACACAAGACAAGTTTAGTCCAGATTGAGATGCTAAAAGTGTTTGATAACTTTTTGGAAAAAATACTGCTTGCAAGTTTTTGATAAATATCTGCTAAAATTTTTTTTTTTTTTTTCATTTTTTTACGCACATGAATGGATGAACAAGATTCCCAATGTCCCCAACTCCCATCCAGCGAAACCACAGCCAAGGGAACGGGCTTGGCAGAATCAGCAGGGAAACAGGGCTTTAAAAACAAAGACATTCAACATTTTCAAAACATTTTCTAAACTGAATTTGCTATAATATCTGTATTTTTTTTTTTTAAAGTTGCTTCTTTTGTTACTTCAATTGAAATGCTGTATAACTTTAGTTTTGAAACCATTTGGTTTATAATTTCTTTTGAGATCTAATTTTCAAGTAAGAATATGCATGCATAAAGCGTTTTTTGGCGATTATATTTAAGTTGCTAAATCGACATTAAAGCTAGAATTTTTTTCAATTTAGTTTTAATTCTCAGTGCAGTTAATTATTTATTAATTTCTACTAAAGTAAAATGAAACTCTCTCCACACCCTGTTTTACCTTCTATGCTGTCCTCGCCCTGAGTTCTCAATTTCTTCAGCAGCTAGGCAGCCAGACGCTCCAATAACCAAACTTCTTTCCTTTTTTAGCGGTTTATTGAAGAGTGGCCTCTGACCACTGCCATCACTTTAGCCATCGTAAACTGAAACATACAAGACTGCGTATTAGCAAACGAACTAGCCCTGTTTGCTGCGAGCTAAAATAAAACATTTTCCTAAATTTACACCAAAGTTACATAAAACAAAAGCAATTAACCGATTCTTACAAGCAAATCTTGTCCGACACACAACGCACAAGAATAGCAAACAGCTTAACTATGAACCGCTAAGTGCTGCGTTCCACCATCTTTATGGTTTAGCGCAGTGCTTCTCAATTATTTTCCGTTACGCCCCCCCTAGCAAGAAGAAAACTATTCGCGCCCCCCACTCCCGCCGTGACTATCCATCTCTGCATAACATTTTTTCCTTATTAACATTAAAGAAAAAAAGAAAGACATGGTCAAACTTACAAAGAATAACTTTATTAAATTGTGTTTAAGTCTGCAACAGAAAAGATTTTAAGTGCATCAATGCCTGAAATTAAAAATAAATAAATAAATCCATGTCTACTGCTGCAGGCAGTATCAGCTCCTCTGCTATGGTGTGGGGCTTTTTGCACTGCGTAATTTGGTACGCCACCTTATATGATGCTAGCAGCGCTCGATGGTTTACTGAAGTAGCCTTCACAAAGCGGGATGACTGTTGGCAATATTCAGCACGTTTTCGCTGAAAAAACTCTAGCGGCTTATCGGCGTGATTGGGATGTAAAGTATTTAAGTGACGCGCTAATTTATTTGGCTTCATGCTGTCCGCTGCGAGCATTTTTAGACACAGCAAACACACCGGTCTTTCCTCTTCTCCAACTGTAGTCACAGTGAAGCCAAGCGCTAAATACGATTCGTCGTATTTCCTCTTCTTAGCTTTCGGTTGACTTTCTGTTGTCTCATTATCTTTGTCTCTCTCCGCTTTTCTTTTCATCCCTGTGAAAAACTTTTTCATGTTGGGGGTTGTTGAATAACGGACGCCACAGACAGAACGCAGTCGGAGCTTTTTGTTGACTTAACACTGCCAACCAAGGCAAACCTGTTGTCTTGTAAGTGGTAAAATGTTGCACTGTCGCAAACATGACAGAAGTAACAATGAGAGCGCCACTGCCGCCTACTGTGCGCAATTACACTTTATACTAGTAAGGCCAAAAAAAAAGCCTGTTCCCCAGGATCACACGCGCCCCCCCAAGTATCGCACCGCGCCCCCCAAAGGGGGCGCGCCCCACTATTTGAGAAGCACTGGTTTAGCGTCACTAAACAATATAACAAAATATCCACCAGGGGTTGCTCTAGTGCGGTTTTCACCTTACTGGTCCACCTTTACTTACAAAAGGCAGCACATCTTCCGTTTAATTTTGTTTGCATTGTAATTTCGTTTTTGCCGCCTTAAGTATTCTATATATTTCTCTAAATCTAAAAGTATTAATATAAATAATTATCAATAAAAGCAGTGGATCCAGATTTGAGTAAACAAACAGACAAAACATACACCAGGGGGCGACAACACAGATTTATCACCACTTTACCTAATTTGTCCAGCAGACGGCGCAATCAACTGCTTCGGGTCTCTTCGGTATTCTTCGGCTGTTTTCGGCAGGTAACGGTCGGTACATTCAAATGTTCGGCCGGAGCTCCTCCAGAGAGTGAAGTGAAGAAAGAAACGGACGAACGGAGCCGATAGACGGCGTGAGGAAGCGGAATGACGGTGCTGCAGGAACCTGTCCAGGTAGGAACACCGTGTTCTAGTGCTGTCATGACCCGGGAGGGCAGAGTTCTGGAGCCGGCCTGAGCCGCTGCTTTAGTCCGCGCTCTGTGCGCTTCTCCCCGCACCAGGCCGCAGCTCGGCCCGGAGCTTTCTTGGTTGTTTCACCTATTCATGTCCAGGCTTCCTCAACGGTCAGCCTGGGGTTAACCCCGAACTGATCCTGCTACTATCTGCTCTGTGTTAACTGATCCAGAGGGCAGAGCCAGACTTCTTTAAAAAATGTCTAATTTAGGATGTTATTTGCGGCCAGGAAAAGAATCCATGTACTGGAGAAGATCTCCTGACCTTTCCTGACATGGATGGTTTAATGTCTTTATTGAGGCCAGTTTTCAGGTTTGAGTGCTGTATTTTTAATATCATGAAATGTTCTGAACATATTGGTGTCGTGAAGAACCAGGCTGGTTGTGGTTTTATACTGGAAGCCTCATACTCAGAAATCTGTTTTAAAGTCCAGATTTAGACCAATCTCAGATTGTTTGGTTCACTGTGTGTTAGCCGAACCCTTCAGCAGACCCGGTGTCTTTTATATACTAATTTATGGGCATAATTTACATAGTCTACTGTATTTTACACAGAGTTCTGAACATCAGCCTAGCTAGCCCTGCAGAGCTAACTGTTAGCTTACTACAGCCGGGTGTTAACCTTCTCTAGCCGGCGTCAGGTTGCAGGATTGAGTCGGTAACGCTGTCAGAGGCCCGGTTCTGTTCTTTTGGGGTAGTCCCTCCTGTTCCTTGGGTCTATTCTGAGCCCAGATCCTCCGCACGGAACCGAATTAGCCCGCAGCTGGTTAGCTGCAGCGGCTAACATAAGCTAGCTGAAACTGTTCACGCTTTCCTGGACAGGTGTGCTGGTGACAGAGCAGTCATTCACGTGCGTGAGGTTTGCTGCTGGACAGATTGTGTATGATAAACAACAAACAAACAGGTTTATTTGGAAGAAATGACAAGAAATCGGTGAAACAGTCAATTTCTTGTGTTTACCTAGAGCGGGGTCAAGGTCTGGAGAACCCCTGAGGGCGGGCGGGTTGTGGTAAACACAAACAGAACCATGTTCTGGCTGGTGTTCTCTGCAGTGTGTGGGTGTCCCAGCTCCCAGTGGGTCTGGAGTTTAGCAGTGGGATAACTGGGCTGACTAGGGTTGATGAGCACAGAATCCCTTCTGCTTGAACTGAACCCCCCAGGAGGGGAGACTTTCTTGGTCAACCAGAACCTGTTAAAATGCTCAAATCTGGTTCTGGCTCTAGAACCCAGGAACATAATGATCCAGACCCAGTTTGCTCCCACTGTGATCAAACTACAGTCGATTTTCCTGTCAGTGAATCCGCTTGGAGCAGGGGTGTCCTGACATCTTGTGACACGGTCAAAATCGACAATTCAAAAGTACTTGTGGGCCAAAAAAATGTAAGTCTGGAGGCTCGTA